GCCTCACATGGGTATGAACGGTGCTGAGACTCACGACGGAAACTTTCTTTGGGGAGTGGCCTTCAGTCCACAAGGACCACTTTCCTCAGAGATACTTGGACCATTAAAGCCTGTACCCAGCCACTGATGGGAGCCCTGGTGGCATAGTGGTTACACGTTGGGCTATGACCATCAAGGTTGGCAGTTCAAAACCACCATCTGCTCCTCAGGAGAAAGGCTGCGCTCTCTACTCCCATAAAGTCTCAGAAACCCACAGGAGCGGTTCTACCCTGACCTATAAGATCATAAGGAGTCGGCATTGGCTCGGTAGCAGTGAGAGACTCAGCCAATGACAATCTAATGGCTGCTATTGGGTGTCGTTGACTTGGTCTTTTAATGGCATGCCCCATGTGCCTGCCCCCTGGGGTCACAAGGCATTCATCTTTGTGGGAGTCAATCACCAGGCCTTTCTCCTGTGGAGCTTTGGGGTGGACTGGGGCCACCAACAGCCGGACATTTTGTCCTCCTGGAATGACTGGTGCTATGTGCTGCAGAGGGCTCTAGATTTGGCAGCAGGGAAAATTTGTTCTGGTGTGAGAGAACTGTTTCCAGCTCATTCTCTGATGCTGTCCGACTCCCATGGGCTCAGTGAGATGTGCAAGCAACAGCATCCACGCATCAAATATTGAAGAAACATCCACTAGGTGCCTAGGAGGGGCCCCAATGGCATAATGGGTTATACGTTGAAGGTCGGTGGTTCGAAACCACCAGCCGCTCCGAGGAAGAAAGATGAGGCTGTCTGCTCCCATAAAGATTTACAGCCTCAGAAACTCAGGGGGCCATCTGTATTCCATCCTATTGGGTTGCTATGAGTCAGAAGCCACCCGATGTCAGTGAGCTGAGTTTTCGAAATGTGCCTAGGGGATGCTAACTGAAAGGTTGGCAGTTGAACCCCCTACAGAGGTGCCTCCGAAGCAAGGCCCAGTGAGCTGCTTCTGAAAGGCCACAGCCATGAAAATCCAGGGAAGCACAGTTCTACTCTGAGATGCCCGGGGTCGCCATGAACTGGAACAGAGTCAATGGGCAGCTGACTCTTTGTGGTTTGCATGTCTGGAAGCTGCCTGGCAGTGGGGGGCACAGTGGAGCTCAAGGGAAATTCAGTTCCTATTTGATCCCTTAAAGTATGTCAGAGGGTTTGGGGGTTCACCCCCCCATCCTGTTGAGGGCAGCCACATAATGGTGCTCAATTGAATGAACACACAGACCCTCCGGGATGCTTTTACTTTCTTTTAATGTATAACGGTTACGCCTGAGTTACAGAGGAAGCGCTTACAAGCAGCAGGTAGTTAAAGCAAATACCAGTTTCTCTTTCTAGTCTACGACTCCATATAGCTGAATAAATTATGGTGCGATTATATTTAAACGCACAGCCTCACGCCCACACGCACACCCCACTCACACGCTCACACGGGCACACACGTCTCCACATGGAAGCAACAGAGTTGCGGTTACTAGGAAGAAGGAATGACCTAGAGGGCTATGTAGATATTTCCCAGGTCGGAATTCCCTGGTGGGGGCTGGGAGTGGGGGGTCGGCCGTGTTTAGAGTCAACAGAAGGAGCAGTCAGTCCAGATAGCTCTGAGCATTTCAAGACGGCGGCTAGAGCAGCCCCGTTTGGTCTTCACTTGGTGTCTCCGTAGAAGGGGAGGAGAGAAGATCTGCTAAGTGTCCACGAGTGAAGGGCACCCCCAAGGGCTTCGGAGAGCAACCCCCGAGGGAGGCCCCAGAGGATGAGTGCCATCTCAATTGGTCAACCAGGGAATCCCATGAGTCCCAGGATCCAAACAGCGGAGTGCTTCACCGGCTCCAGCCGGATTCTGGTGGGATAGTCAACGTTTGGTCCTGTCCTGTTCTTGGTCCATAGTCGCCTTAGAAGTGTTTTGTTATTTTCCTTCTGGGCAAACCTCGCTTTCCATTCTTCTCTCCTCCTCTCCCCCCACCCCCCTAGCCCCTGTGCATCTCCTCTGCTAGGTCATGTTCCTCTGACAGAGGGACCCCAAAGGGTAAACCAGGTGAAAATGCGAGGATGAAAGCACAGCTTGGTTCTTACACATTAAGCTTGCTGGGTCCCCCCCATAGCTAGAGAGAGAGACCAAACTGAAAAACATAAAGACCAGAAACCAAAGCGACAAAAATGAAAGAACCCAGTCGATCCTGGAATGTATCATTTGAAACACGCAATACGCAGCTATATCCCTACAGAGGGTCCCTGGGCCCGAGCACAACACGCACTGAGGGGGGTGGAGGGGTGGGTGGGTTTCTTTCGTTGCTTTTGTTTTGTTTGTTTGTTTGAGTGTATATATATTTATATATATAAAGTCAACTTCCTATAAACGAACAGCACATCACCAAGTTTCCAACTAATGTACAATGAGCGCCGAAGAAGGGTCCCCTGCCCACAGGGAGGACCAACAGCTACGTGTGATAAGTCGGAGGGAACATCTCTTATTTTGCTACAGACTCTATTTACAGGGATGGAGGGGGGTTGTTCTGGGCCAGCCTGGCCACTGGGATCCAGGACTTCTTTCTCAGGCTGGGGTCAACCTCCAAGAGTTTGAGGCTTGGAACCTCTTGTCCAACATCCTTTCTCTGGGGAAGGTGTGAACAGACGGAACGAGCCACACACATGAACGCACGGGGTCGGAGGGAGAACCTGTCTGGGTCCGGGCCTCTTTCTGAGCGGGGATGGCTTGGGAGAACCACAGAGGTAATGGACCCAAGGGGGAAACATTTGGTTGATTCCCAACAGGCCTCAGTTCCAGTTTACTCTAAAGAACAGGTATTTGGAGGGGGGCGGGGCGCGTTCCTAGCATTGGAATGTCAACTCCTGGGTGTGGAGCTGGGCAGTTCGGATGTCACCTGCCGGAGTCACACAGGTAGAAGGAGACTCTGCCACTTCCCAAGCCAGGCCTCCTGAGAGAACAGCTGATCATTCAAGGAATGTGGATGAAAACTGTGGTCCACCTCAAGGAAGAGCCATGACAGCTACGAAAGCATCAAGTGGGCTACCGAGACTTCCTTTTTGCCCAGGACTCGAAGCACCCAAAGTCTCCTTTCATTGATGCTCCACGGAGACCTGTATAGGCCACACATAGCAGGTGTCCTCTGCTACTGAAAAGTCTGTTTGTCTCCAATTAACAAGTTCCTCCCAAAGTTAGGAGCTCCCCCTGAACATGGTCGAGGTCAAGCTTGACATGGTGAGTCTGGAGATGAGTCACAAGTGCCCATCTATCACAGAGGTGACACCCACGTCGTTGCCCAGAGCACCGGCCACCTCTGTTCAGGGAAGGAACCAAGTTAACACCTCTGTTCAGGGAAGGAACCCAGTTAACCGAAAGGCAATAGCCCTTCCCTCCGGGAACATCTTCTTAGCAGAGGGCATGAGGCATGGAATGAGCAAAGAGGTGGCCTCAAGGGCCCAGGCGAGGATAAACCATTTGGTCCCAACATTGTGGCTTCGGTGCTCCTGCCTCCCATCACACTTTTACCCGGCAGCACTTGATAAAGGTGATCCCAGGGTCATTGGTGAGGAGGAGAAGGAGGAGGGGGACAGGCAAAGATGGTGATCCATTCCAAGAGAGGAGGCCTTGGGGGCTTGACCCAGACCACAGAGGTCGCAGCTCCTAAAGAGAATGGGGTTTGAGGGAGCGACTGGCGTGGTCGAGGATGGTGCCTATCGCCCTCTCTGGAACCCTCTGCCCAGGGGTGGTTGCTTGAAACTTAGTCAAACCTGCCTTCACCTAGCGATAGTGGAGCAGGAGACAGAGGTCTCTGTCGAGAGAAGAATAGCCCTGGGTGATCCCGATCTAGGGGAGTCAGGGGCAGGGACCTGCCGCTCACCAAAATAACAAAGGGAATGATGGGCAGGTTTGCCCGTGGGGCAAGTAGGCCTGCCTGGTCCAAAAACCTTGCTCAAAGCGGAGGATGCCTCACTGCACCCGCAGTGGCTTACAGGGGGTCACCAGGACGGTGTGGAAGCCCCTTCCCAGAGGACTAGACAAGCACAGAGCAGGGTCAAGGTCACCCCTGGAGGCTCTGTGAGAAATGAAAACTCCAGGGGGCGTGAACTGAAGCCATGGAACCGTTGGCAACACAGGCTTGTGGCTCACAAGGGACTCCATTAAGAAACCCCCCTGCCAAGCCACCTTATGCCTCTCTTGTCCTCTGGATTCCAGCCCATCAATGAGGAAACTGAAGGGTAGTGTGGGATCCCCAGGTCCTGCGGGGGGTGGGGCCAGACTGCAATCAGGGTTTATCCCAGGAGTCCTCTGCTTCGCAGAGCCTGGATCGATAGATTCCTTGTAAACAGAACCCGACCAATGGCTGACAAGCCTGCCCCATATGGTCCTGTCTCCTGGCCAATCCCTTTTAGACTTCCCAGTCTCCGGGTAAGTATGTGAGATGGATCTGGCAGCCCTGGGGGTTTCTGGGGTGGGCAGGACAGCTAACTCCACTGGAGGACCCAGGATTCGGAGTCTGCTGGGTTCCAGAGAAGGAAAAGGCGGTGGGTCTGAGCCTGGATCAGAGGCCCTGCACTTCCAGCTGAGAACAGCTTTGTCCATCTCTAACAGCTTGCCTTCTGCTGTCAAGTCCAGAGGGCTCCAAGGTCCTAGTCTCAGGCACCTTCAGCTTCTGGGTTCCCAAGGTGCTTTACTCAGCGTGAGCTTCCAGCCTCCATGCCCGAGATCACACAGAGGCCACACAAGGATTCAATGGGTGGCGGAGCGCTGCAACCTGGCCAGAAAAATTCCTGGGGAGGGTGCAAGGGCTTAGACCAGGTCCCTAACCAGAGGTAACTGAAGAGGCTGCTGCACCTCTCCAGACAGCTGGCTAGGAGAAGGGATGAGACTCCTTTTCTGGTCTCCTGGGCTTCTGGGAGAATGAGGGGACTGAGGTTAGGAGACTTAGGGGTCAATAGGATGTGGCTGGGTCTCAGGCTGGGGCAAGCCGCCCCAGGGGCCCTAGTAGGCCTGGCCAGTTTCCACAGGCAAGAGTCCCAGAACGGCAGAATGCTCCCCAAGCTTCATGCGGCGCTGTGTGGAGAGGCTCACGTTCTTGGCCAGGTAATCAACAGCAGCTGGAACAAAAAGAGAGCACCCGCTAGAGAAGATGGCTCTTTTCATCTTGTCTTCCATGTGCCCTACATTCACATAGCGACCCACCCACCCACTCATCCATCCATCTGGGTGAAGTAACATCAGTCCACCTTTCCAACAATCCCATCTATTCATGCATCCACCTCTCCATCCATCCATCCATCCATCCATCCACCCATCTATTCATCCATCCACCTATCCATCCATCTACCTATCTATTCATGCATCCACCTATCCATCTATCCATCCATCCACCCACCCATCTATTCATCCATCCACCTATCCATTCATCCATCCACCCATCTATTCATGCATCCACCTATCCATCTATTCACCCATCCATCTACCCATCTATTCATCCACCCACCTATCCATCCATCTACCCGTTTATTCATACATCCGCCTATCCATCTATCCATCCATCCATCCACCCATCTATTCATCCATCCACCTATCCATTCATCTATCCACCCATCTATTCATGCATCCACTTATCCATCCATCCATCCATCCATCTACTCATCGACATCCACCTACCCATCCGTACATCCATACATCTATCTACCCAACCATCCACCCACCTGCCCAACCATCCATGTACTCACCTACCCATTCCCCTATCCATCCATCCATATCTTCATTATACGCCTTCTCTTACCTTCTATCTAATCATCCAGCACACATTTAGCAAACACATTATTTGCCCACTCTCTCATGGGCTCTCTAGGGTGCTGTTGAAGGTGGTCACATGGCTGGGTGAAGTAACATCAGTCCACCTTTCCAACAATCCCTTGACATATCCCCACTGTGGGGAATGTCTGATGGGCCCCACTGAGCCCAAGTAACAACACGGAAGGGTCCTTCTACTTTCCCTGGACTCTGAGCCCAGATTATGGAAGCCACAAAACAAGGTCCCTGGTTCAAAAGGCCAAAGCCACTTTTACAGCTGAACTGAGGGGTTTAGGAAGGAGGAGGGACCCAGACCCTGACATGCAGCGAGCTGAGACCTCATCAGTCCCTCACCGGAGGAGAGGGATATCAGAGCATGAGGGTGTGCATTCGCCCGAATGGCATGCACGTGTGTGTGCACGAATAATGGAAGCATGACAGTCTGTAGGACACAGTAGTGGGCACCCACTGAGCAATACCTGCACCCGTGCAAGTAAAGAGTGGGGATGCCTGTTCACGCACAGGTACCTACTTTCACTTTATTTAGGTCAGTTCTCACCTGAGTAGGGCACACCTGTGTGTGTATGTGCAGGTGTGTGTGTGTGTGTGTGTGTGCAGGTGTGACCACTGGGCTTGCCTGTATAGATGTGTTGTCTTGACTCTACACTGATGCCTGCCCGGGACAGCCACAGCTTTGACCAAATAATTTGCTTGGTGTGTGACCAAGACCTCCTGCGGCACAGAGATGCCGGGTCTGCGACGGAGGCCACCCTGACCTCCTGGGACCCTGGGATTCGGAGGCAAGAGGAAGGTGTAAAGAGCACAGGACTGGGAATGATGGAACCCTGCCCCGCCCCTGCTCTCACCCACCCACTGAGGGACCCGGCTACACTCCTCACAGTTCTCCTCCCCTGGAGGGCTGGCCTAGGGCAGGTGGGTGAGGCCAGGGGGTGGGTGGGTGTGGCCGGGGGTGGGGGAGGTCCAGGAAGAAAAGTGGGCAGGACACGGACCCTGGTCTGAATCCGGCACCTGCCATCTATTAACTGTGTGAATGGGGGTATGATGCCTCCCCTCTCCGCACCCCAGCTCCCTAGTCTATAAAGTGGGATCTGAAGAGCACACAACGTGGAGAATTGCTGGGCGGGCTGAGCGAGCTCCAGCAAATCATGCAGTCAGCGCTGTGGCTGGCAGGTGGTGTGGACTGAAAAGCAGTGGGGTCCTCGGGTTGGGGTTAGTGACAGGCATGACCTTGGTGGGAGCAAGGAGGCAAAGGATAGGGAGAGAGGCAGTAAGGGGGTCTCAGCAAGCTCCGGCTGCAACAAATGGGCCTCTTTGGGCCCATTACCTCATCTGTGAAAAGCAAAGAGGTCACTTGGAGGACCTGGGTGCACCTAGCCCAAGCCACGCGTTGCCAATCCTTGCTGTGCGTGAGAAAGCCGGGTGTGGGTCCGGAAGTCTGAAGAGCATCCGGACTCTGCTGTTAGGGAAGACCCCCAAATGCCTCGGGAACTGCCCACGGACCCCATGAGCTGTCTTACCAGAAGTGTGGCCAGGATGGTTTTAGGAGCGAGGATGGGGGGATCTTGCCTTATGGACTGTGGGCATGTTATCAGGAGGGGCCAGTCCCTGGAGAAGGACATCGTGTTTTGTAAAGGGTCAGTGGAAAAGAGGAAGCTCTCTGATGGGACGGACTGACACAGTGTCTGAGACAATCAGCTGGAACATGGCAGTGGCTGCAAGGACAGTGTAGGGCCAGACAGTGCTTCAAGGGTCACTGAGTCGAACCAACCCCACAGCACCTAGCGGCCACCACAAAGTGGGGGGAACGGCTTCCAGCCCACAGCAGGGGCTGCCCAGAGCTCCAGTGGGATCATGTTCTCCAGGATGCTGGGCACAGAGGCCTCAGGGCATGGCCTCTGGATTCCTCCCGGATGTGTGCATGCTCCAGGGGTCTCTTTGGGGTGTCTGGATCCCAGAGGCCCTCAACTTGCCAAATTCCAAAGTAGGCGACAAAAGCCACGTGATCCTTGCACAAGGCCTGAGCATGTTCCCTGAGGGCACTGCCAATACTCCTCTGAGACCACCCGAAGCCTGGGCTCCCAGTCAAGGAAGCAGGTGCCATGTGACCAGGCCCTGTCCTCTCCTGGGTCTGCCTGTGATGCTGGGCGAGGGTAGGGGACATCTCCTACATGTGCCCTAGGGGGCCCCTGCGGCTCTGGCCACAATACCACTCTCGGTTCTGCTCCTTGGAGCTCACCTTACCTGGGCTTCAGGTAGCCTCCTTCTCGACACGATAGTTACACTAGGCAGAGGACTAAAATGTACTGCCATGGAGCTAATTCTGATTCACGGAGCCGGGTAGAACTGGCCCTGTGGACTCTGAGACTGTAACTCTTTAGGGGAGTAGAGAGCCTGTCTTTCTCTCGAGTAGTGGCTGATAGTTTTGAACTGCTGACCTTGTGGTTAGCAGACCAACTTACGGCCACAAGGTCACCGTGACGAGGAGAAGCTAACACGCAGCGAGAGCTCGCTCCATGCCTGGCCTGTTATCGGAGCACTTTGTGAGCATCACCTCACTGCCCTCTCGCTACAGCTCAATGGGATTGGGAGTATCCGTATTCCCATTTTACAGATGAAGAAATCAAGGCTTCGAGATTGTGTGACGTGAAAAGCAACATGGCTCGTATGTTGGCCTCCAGGACTCAAGCCCAGGCAGTTTGATGCCAGCTTCTAACCAGGCCCCGTGAGCCTTGTCCTGCAGCTTCCTATCGAATGCCCCCCACCTGTATGTGTGGGAGGAGGCCATCCTCACTCCACGAGCCCATTTTCTACTCTGGGAAGTGTAAGTGACGTGTCCACGGCATGTGGAAGAGCCACCAAATGAGACGACCTATTCCCTGTGTCCCAGAAGGCCTGCCTATGCTAACTCTGATGCCAACCTCCCCAGACAGCCCGCGGGAATGACGAAGAGAGACCCTGAGTACACAGTGCAAGGAGAGCCCCCATGTCGCTCGGTGTCACAAGACCTCTCTGGAGTGCAGCCAGGCAGGGGAGTGACTGTGAGGACGAAGGGGTGCCTGACCCAAGCCTTGGTACTGCCAATGGCCTCTGAAAGAGGGTCGTCGAATAAGGAAGAGCGAAGAAGGAGGCGCGCGTTGCATCGTGGTGCCGGTGGAGGACACATTAGCACCGCGGACTGCTGGCAGGACAAGAAGCCCCACAAAGCCAAACTTCAACAGTAACCTGATAACTTCCCGGGCCCCCCACGGCGGCGGAGCCTGCCCCTCCCTGCACCGGCCAGGGCAGCACTGTGACATTTCTCATTACGGCCCCTGTCAGCGGCTTTCCCGGTCCCTCTTTCTCTCCCTGCCTCCCCTCCTCTGCCTCGTGCCCACTCCTGGGCTCGAAACACCTCAAATTAGATTACTCGGGAGTTGGCAGGCACTATGGCGGCAGTGCCAACCCGTAAACAGATCTCAGCCGTCAGCCCAAGGCCCCAGAGGAGGGCCCTTCCAGACACAAATTCTTATTAGACTTGTCAGATCTATTAAAATTCTCTTCACACTTCTGCGTTCCATCAGCCCCATCATTAGTACGGCCCTGGCCTCTGGGAACACCGGGGCCATATTAATCTGCTGTGTGCCCGGTCCCTGCCCCCCTGTCCCCACCCCCACACCCCAGGGATGAGAGAGGTGGACAGATGGACAGAAAGTGGTCCGGAGCAGGAGAGCATGGTGTGACAGTCCCTGGGGAGATGAGAGGCCCAGGGAAGGGAGGTGGGCTCAGCTGCTGGAGTTGGGTCTACTTGCACACCCCACGACCACCTGCAAGAGGGGAGGCTCTCTTGGGGTGGTGCTGAAGTGTGGCAAGTGAGGTACATGTAGGGTGTGCAGCTGGGTGACTGGACAGATAGCCCCTCCCAGATCCCAGATCTCACATGGCACAGAGTGACCATGAGGGGACAGACCTGGGGCACTGTAGATGCCCAAGGGGTCCACTGCTCCTTTGCACACATGTTATTTCCATGTTGATCGTGTGAAGCCACGTGTTTGGAATTGAATTGTGTCCCTTCCAAGTAGGGGCTGGGATTCTACCCCCTATATCCATAAGCACGGTCCTGTTTGGAAAGAGGGGTTTCATTTGGTTGTGGGGGTGGGATCTGACCAGTGTCGGATGGGTCCAAAGTCTAGCCATGTCTGAGCTATAAAAAGAACAGAGTAATCCCAGAGACTCACAGTGGGGCAAGGGTATCAGAACACACACACACACACACACACCCCGGGGTGTCTCAACATACCCAGACATGCCACCAAGTACCGGCATCTACTAGATGCTCAACTAGCCCAAGGAGCTCCCCGTTCTAAACCACACCCAGAATTTGGACTTCCAGACTCTAGAGCTGTGAGAAAATCCATTTCTGTTCCTTAGTCATCCACCTGTGGTCATTGGTCATTGTTGCTATGGCAGCAGTCGGTGATTAAAACACCTGGGTATACACACAGACAGTACAGGAGACTCACATGCAAATACAGCTCTGGACATGCCGGTGGATCCAGGTGTGCCTCACTATCAGGGCCTTGCACAAGGTTGTGGTTTTGTGGCCCGGAGAGCACTGGGTTTGAAGTTGGAAGACCTTGAATGTCTTGTTCCCCTTGGAAAAGCTACAGAGCCTCTCTGAGCGTTAGTTTCTGTAAACCCAAACCCAAACCCCAATCCACTGCCAACTGCACCCACTCAGATCCCTAGAGACCCCACTCGAGTCCCCCTGGACTCGAGTGATGAAGCAGCGGCCTCAGTTTTCTCCAGTGGTGGCCTCCAACTGCCGGTCTTTTGGTAAGCTGCTAAGTGCTTTAACAGCTGAGCCCTGTCCTCAGTGACACATGGGGTCACTATGCATCCTCATCGACCAGACGGCCACTCGTTGGGGTGTGGTGGTTGAGAGCTGCCGGTGAGAGAGCTTACCCCTCAGGAGCTCTCGGGGGACCCCAAGGGGCTGAGAGATATGAGTGCATGGACTCACTACAGGACAGAGGGGAGCATGTGGCAGGGGACCTAGGCACACAGACGCAGGGGGAGGGGGACCCGGTCCCAAGGGACCTGGGCAGGTGGTCAGAGGTGAGGCAGGTGATCAAGTGAGACCTGGGAGAGCTGGAACACAACAGGCCCCCTTTTTTCCAGGTCTCTGAGGTTCCCCTGGGTTTTCTGCGGGGTGTTTTAGGGAGAAATCTGGGCCGTTTCCTTCTCTGGCAGGATTGCCCGGTGGTGTAACGGTTATGCGTAGGGCTGCGATCTGCATGGTCTGCAGTTTGAAACCACCAGCAGCTTTGCAGGAGACAGACTGGGCTTCACACTCCCGTCAACAGTTCGAGTCTGAGAAGCCCAAAGCGGGTGGCTAGGGGTCAGTGTGGCAGTGAGTCTGGGTTGGTTTCTTTTCTTCTCTGACAGCTCCCCACAGGGTTCCAGTCTTCACAGATTTCCCAGTACAGGAGACAGCTTTGAGACCACTCTGTCCCCTCCCCGAGCCCCCATTTCACAGGTGGGAAGACGGAGGCTCAGTGGAGCAAGGTGAGTGACACCCACATAACCCAGACACCCCTCCCAGCCCAAGCTGGAGCTGCTGTGGCAGTGGGAGGGGGTCTTGATTATCTAGTGCTGCTAGGACCGAGGTACCTCAGGAGGGGGATCTTCACAGACAGGCATTTTTTTCAGGGTGGGGGGTGGGGCTGGAGGTCCAAACCCAGAGCTCTTGTCTCGGCATTGTTTCTGCTTGCTGGCTTGCTGGAGAGAGCGCGCCAGGCTCGCCTTACCGGCTCTCTCCCCATCTCTCCTCTGCTGGCTTGTTTAATCGCTTTTATACCTCAAAAGAGATGGGCTCCAGATACAAGCGCCACTAATCCTGCTCATTAACATAACAAACACAACCCTTTCGCAAATGGGATTATAACCACAGGCACAGAGGCCCGAAGGACAACACTGATTTGGGGGACATAATTCAACTCCTAACAGACTGAGGGTGTGCTGCAGTTCCCCCTGGGAAGGGCTGGAGAGTGTGGCCCCAGGGAGCCCGGCGGAGCTGGAAGGGGGCAGGGGGAGAAAGAGGAGGGAGGAAGCAGGCAGGAGGGAGGAGGACATGACTCTGGTTCTGGCTTTTCCTGAGCAAAAGGGAACAAAAAAATCCTTCCTCGCCTCCTGGGCCATTCCCCTTTGATGCCCCCTCTCCTGCTGCCCCTGTGCTGGCTTTGGGGTTAATTTTATTTCCGAGTTGGACAGGCGCTTCTCGAGCGGGGCACAGGCTCCGGGTGTGACTAACGCCTGCCCCAGGCCTGGGGCTGCCAAGTCGGTCGCTGGAGTCCTGCTCCGATCTTTATCAAGAGCATGTGTCCCGCTCCACGCCTGGGAACATGGCCTGGGTCAGGGGGTCGCTCAGGGCCTCTCTGGAAACACTCCATGCACATAGGTGTACCCTGCTCTCACACATGCATGTGCACATGTGCTACATCCGCCTGTGCACTTGTTCCCTACAAACAAGCTCTCACACTTTTGTACAGACACACCAACTATGTGCACACCCACATGCACATTTAAACACACAGCCACACCTGTGCAACCCTTGGATGCATAGCCCTCATGTTTATCATGCGCACACTTGTGCTTACACATGTCCACATACACATGCACCTAGCTCCACACTCAAGCACACATACACGCCCAAATGCACATTTATTCAGTACAAACAGCCATCCATGTCAGCACACTCACACAGGTATCTATGCATAAGCACACACATGTATCAGACATGCTCACATGGGGGGGTTGCACAACACAGATACCAAACACAGTCACATAGACACACCGACCAGATACACACACCTGGTTCACACGTGAGCAAACTTTGAGTGAGTTAGAGCCACATACACTCACATGCTAGAGCATGTGTGCACATGGCATGCATACAAACTGCTCACTTGTACTCACATACGTGTATGCCTACAGGTGTCTCCTTGCACATTTATATACATGTATGTACACTCACCTGGACAAATACCTGCATGTGGAAATACTCAGGCCAGTGCAGTATACAATCCACTCACAGACACCCACGCATGTGTCTCATAACATATTCATGACCCATGAATTGCCCACATGTATACATGCACGCATGCCAACACACACATGCACAGGAAGGGGCTGTGCTCACAGCTGGAAGGTACAGGCCGGCACAGCTGGCTCTCATTTAGCCGTGGAGGCCAAGGCCACAGGAGGAGGCGGGGTCAGGAAGCTGAGGTCATCGAGGGCACGCCAGGGTGGCGACTGAGGGAGAGGATGCCCCAGGCCTGGAGGTCTGGTCCCCCTAGACACACGCCCTTCTGATTAGTTTGACACCAGCAGGTGAGGTCTTTGGCAGGAGGAGGGGCAGGAGAAGGGGTGCTAACCCAGCCGGTGACCCCAGGCTCCTGGTCCCGCCCTGCTTGCCCTGCTGCTGGCCCCATCAATGTCCATCTGCCAAGTTGCATCTGGGCCACCATTTCCAGCCTTCCGTCTGAGGGTCCAGTCTGCCATCCACACCTCCAGGCAAGATACCAAGGTGGGTGGTGTGGTGGTGGCTTGCCCTTGAGACTTGCTTGGAGTTTGGGGAGACTGAGGGGCAGGATGAAGGGGGCTCCTAGCCCCAGGGTCCAGGCTTCTAACTGCTGCCCCTTCTAGCTACTGAGCACTGGGACGGAGGCTACTGTGGCTGCAGAAGTGAATTTCTGCGTTTTATTCCACTTTCCCGCCTTTAAATGGAAAAACAGGCCTACGTTGTTTGATTGGTAGAAAAGGTACGATGTTTGCACCACCTTGGATGTGGGTGTCACTGATGTTTTACCAAGTGGAATACAGAACCGGGGCTTCAGCAACGCTGAATCTGGCGAAGGCTGGTGAGCTGAGGAGAGCGTGACGCAAACTCATCCTGGGTTCCACCCCTCACACAGATACGGGGTCAGAAACACCCAATTTCCATCTGATGACACACGGAGATGCCATTTTGGAACTACGGGGTTAAATAAAATGTTCCTAAAATCATCTGCCTTGATTCTTTCCACCTTTCGGAAGGTAGCTTCTAGGGGGAAAAAACACCAAAAAACTAATAGCATTTGTAGCTGACATTATGTCCCTCCCGGACGGAGCTGCAGCCAGCCAGGTGGAGACCTGAGTTCCTTCCCAGGCCTCAGTTTCCCAGTCTGTGAAATGGGTTAAACACCCTACCCCCATCTCCACTCCCCACCCAACGTCCCCTCGCCACCTTCTTCGAATCACCGAGTGACCCTTGGGCCGGGGCAGGGAGGGGGTGGTGCACACTCACTCTGGCCATACTGGCCATACTGGTAGCCAGCCACGGGGTCCACGCTGTAGCCGGTGGTGCTGTAGGTGGGCGGGCAGTAGGACTGGGAGGTGGGCAGGCTGTCTCCTGGCTTGATGGAGTCAGCCCGCTGGCTGCAGCTCGCGGAGATGGAGGAGGCCGAGTCCAGGCCACCGTGCAGTGGGGAGATGGAGAAGTCGGCTTGCGGCTGCGGGGGCACCGCACTGGGGTTGCTCAGAATGCTCATCACCTGTAGGGGGAGGGGGGCACAGTCAGTAAGGGGCCGGCTGGTGGGCTGGGGGCTCGGGGCACAGCCCCATAGGCCAGGATGCACAGGCACCCTTGGGTGGACCTGCTCCCTGGAAGTAAGCATGGAGGCCCTCCACAGACCGGGGATGCTTGCTTTCTCAGCCAGGTCCAGACCCACAGAACTCCAGGGGCCAGTTGCCATTGGCTACCCTCAAGTCCATATGGTTCCTGGTGACCCCACATGGCATAGAATAGCACACACACACACACACACAAACACACACACACCCACGGGGCTGGCTGGACCATCACCTTTCAGGAACTGATGGCCAGCCATTCTCCCATGCAGTCTTGGGATAAGTTCACCAGGCCACCTTTGGGGGCTAGCTAGCAATGGAGTACTTAATCATTGCAGACCCCTGTGGATCAGCTACACTAATGAATGAATGATGAAAGCATGCCTGCATGAATGAATGCATGGGCTCATTCATGACGTCCCTCCTATCAGACAGGGAGCTTCCCAGGGACCAGAAGCTGTGCCACCTTCCCCCATCAGACTGAAGATGTCCCCATCCTCAAACACAAATATTAGAAGGGGAGTCCAGGCCCAGGGGGCTTCACCCTGCTTTCCGGGGCGAGGCACACTCCGCTGATGGCTTCTGGGGACCAAGCTCTGGCCCTGAAAGCACCAAGGTGCACGGCCGATGCTGCTTGAGGGCCTCCCCTGCCTTTCTGGATCCTGCGACTCCCAGGTACCCATAACTGCCACCCTGATCCCTCCTGGGTCCCTAGTGCTGGTGCACGCGTATCGTTTACTTATGCAACCAGCCAGCCTGGATGGCAACGCTGGCCCCAGCTCTCAGATGGGGACCCTGCAGCTTTGAGGAGCTCCAGCGTCCCCATCCTGGGGTGAGGCCCGCACAGGAGCAGCTCCAGAGCAGCAGGAGCCCAGAGCAAGCACCAGTCAGGTTTCTGCCCAGCCCTCCAGGCGACAGTTGGGTGAGGCTATGCAGGAATGGCAGTCCCTGTATTCAGGGAGGCTGGGACTCCTGGTGAGTCCAGAAGGGAGGCAAGAGAGGCAGGTCCTGGCTGCCCTGGAAGACCTCACCCAGACCTTACCCCTGTCTTATGTGTGGCCCAGGGTGCCCAGTAGGGTGCTGAAGAGCCACATTGCAACTCATGCCACGCTCTCCAAAGCCCCCACCCCTGGACCTTCAGGCACTGTCCCTGAGTGACACAGGCAGTTCCACCCAACCAGCAGCACTGCCGAGAAAAAGCACTGCCTGCTTCCCCACAGACCACAGCCTAGAAAGCCTAGCAGATGCGTTCTATTCTGTCACCTGGGTTCGGAACGTGGGGGACTTATCTGCTTATCAACCTAGTGAACCTTGTCTCTCCCCACTTTGATTCGTTCTTGCTGTAGGGACTGTGGCAAGGGCATGGGCTTGGGCCAGGGGTCAATGCTGAGCTCTGCCACTGTGAAACCTCAGGAGTCTTCTCCAACTTCTCTGAATCCCAGTCCCGGGGAGCTGTCATGATGACGGTGCGTAACTCAGAGCAGGGCTGGGAGGACGAGATGAGGGTCAGGGCTTTGCACTAGTCCAACGCAGGGTACATGCTCCTGAAGCAGTGGGCTGTCTCCCCAAGCCCTGCCCCTCCCCCTTCCCTCTCCCACCGTGTAGCTGTTAAGGAATGTGTTCCGATGCAGTCCAGGTCCCTTCAGAGGTGTGTGTGGCAGATCGAGGGTACCCATTTCTCAGGTGACGGAACTGAGACCCACAAAGGGTGGTGACTTCTAAGAGTGAGTCTCAGGATGAGTCAGGGATTTGATCCTACCACTCAGTCCCCAAACACTCACCCTGCTTCCCCTTGAAAGGAAGCTTGGGTCCCAAGAAGGACAAGGGTGTGGAGGAGACTGGGGAGGGCTTGTCAGCAAGGTGGGACCCGCTTTGCTCCTTTCCTCCTGCACATCACCTGGATGGCAGGCCCGTAAAAGACAGGTGGGGCGGGTGGGAGAGGTTAGTCCAAGATGAGAGGCAATCATAGAGAGGAAGAGGGGGCTTTGGGAAGGGGCCGTGCACAGACCGGGCCCTCAGCCCGTGAGAAGACAGAACTGGACACCAAGCTACTGCCATATCTGACGCCAACACTTAAGAGTTATTGATGATTCCCCAGTCCTGTCAGCTTCTCCCAGCCTGCCCTCTATTTACCTGTCCAAACTCCTCCCACCACTTCCTCCCTCACAGGTTACATTCGTCCAAGCCATGCCAAACTACATGCAGCTTTCTCCAGACACACTTCCTCCAGGTGTTCATTCCACACACGCTTCCTGGAGTAGCCCCATGCGCCAGCCAGGAAAGACAGCTGGATGGCGGTGTGAGCAAGCTGAGCTGCACACCCCCTATTTTGCAGCCCCAGGGCCCACGCTGTGCCTGCTGCCTTGGTACATTCAGAAAAGCCCTGGTGAGTTCACGCACACCCACTGAGCAGATATCCCCAGCGTCCCTACTCTGAGCCAGTCACTGGGGCCACAGAAAAGAGCCATACTGACCCCCACGCCCTCCGGAAGCTGCCAGTCTAGTGGAAGAGGCTGACAACACACTTGGAAGCAAATGAACAATAGAATTCCTGATACTGCGGACAGAGTGCTATGGGGAGAAAGGGGTTGGGTAGGTGGGGGAGTCAGGGTAAGGCTGCCCCAAAGAGATACTGTCCCAGCATGGCCGAGAAGACACAGCTGTGGAAAGTTTAGGCAGAAGAGTTTTCAGATGGGTGAATCGGCACGTGCAAAGGCCCTGAGGTGGGAGCGTGCCCAGCAGGTTGACAGAGCAGCATGGAGGTCGGCGGCGGGGGGAGTGAATCTTCCAGGAGCTGTAAGGCCTTCTTCAGCCCTTTGTTGGCAGGGACTTGTGTGGTTCAGGCGGCGGGGCACCCTGCACCATTAACAGACTGCTCAGAAATGGCTCTGGCCGGGGCGCTTTTCCCGTAATGGGATTTGCTCAATGGGATTTGCCCTGGAACATCAAATCAAATCCACATCTGGGGTAGGTGTGAACAGAAGATGTGAGTGTCTGCTGGCTCTCAGAGGCCTGGAGGCCTAGATCAAAGGGTCTCCACTCCATCCAACTCCCTGTCTCCAAGCAGAGCGGCTTGCCAGCCCAGTGGACAAGGCCCAAGTGAAGAGAGGTGGGAGGGGCAGCACGTCCTGAAAGAAGGGACCATGGGACCCTGAGCTAACACACTGGTCAGTTGGTTGAATCCTAGCCCCATTCTGCAGATGCCGGTGGCAAGCCACCGGGGAACGGAAAGGCTTACGCAGGTCATGAGAGCTGAGACTCAGACCCAGGTCGCACGGGACCCTAGCTGTGTTCCTTCCTAGACAAAGGCTGGAGGGGCAGCCTCTAGTGGGCTGGGCTTTCTGGGGGTCATTCTCTGCCCCCAGAAGCAGGAAGCACTTGCTTGGGGCTGGTGGCCTCCGCTGAGGTCTAGGGGCTGCAAACTTTTGAACTTGAGGAAGTCCGGGCTGCTGTGGTAACCCACCCCCTCAAGAATGCTCAGGCCCCTCCCCCGGTGGGTTCTACTTTTTCCCCTGACCTTGCTTTGACTAATGTATTACTTCTTGGTACGTTACCGTTACTAACTCAAAATCAATACCGACCTCCACATCTGTAAGGTTTTATCTGAAGGCAAATCTTGGGCTGTCCATCAGACTGACTGACAGCCGTCCCTTCCTCCCCTTTCCTGCCCCCCACCCACCGTCCTTGCCCCCCGCCCGGCCCCCAGCCCCTTCCTCCTGCTCTGCTCCAAATCAGCCCCAGCCCGGGCCAGACTAAATCAATAAGGCCCCCCCCCCCGCCCGCCCCCCTGCACCCTTCCTTCCGCCCGCTGGGGAGACGCTGGCTGGTGGCGAGGGCGGGGGGCGCAGGAGCCCCATGCCAGCCCCCGCTTCCACGGGGCTGGCTTGCCGCCCCTCCCCCGAGACGCGCGCACGCCGGCCCGCTCGCTCTCGTACTTTAAAAGAAGGGGATGGGAAAAATGTAATTAATTCCCTCCGTTCCTGAGCTGGCCCTGAGGGCCTGGGACTGAGGAGGCTGAGCTAGGAGATCTGCACCCTCTGTGATAACCGAACGTGGATTTGGGAGCGCGGCTGCAATTGGAAGTGGCGATCGCCATCACCCGGCTCTGTGGCAGGGGGGGGGCGCGGCGGGATACAGATGGGAGAGGGCGGCGGGGGCCAGAGATGGGTGAGGTCCCAGTGGATAAGTCTGCGCATGAATTGGGCACAAGCAGCAGGCCAACGAGTGGGGACAGGTGTAGATGGGAACCCCACTCCAATTGTCAGAGGGACCCTAAGGTCGTGTGGGGTGGTGGGGGTGGGGGTGTTGGCATCACCAGGACAGGGGCAGTCAGGGCTCTGGGGCTTCCCTGTGCACGGAGTGGCGGGGCAGGGCCCCTGTGTTAGCGTCTGTACTCTGCCTCCTCTAGCTGCGATGCTGGGCCGTTCCTCTCATGGCCCACCGCGCCCTGCCTCGGGTTGCTCGGGTTGCTTCGTCTCTACAACGGGAATAGAGCCATGGTGGTGCAGTGGTTACATGTTGGGCTAAGATCCGTAGGGTCGGCATATCAAAACCACCAGAAGCTCTGCGGGAGAAAGGCTGGGCTTTCTATTCCCACAAACAGCACAGTCTTGGAAACCCGCAGGGGGCGGCTATCAGTCAACATTGACTCGGAAAGGTATGTGGATAAAGAAGCAGGAGATGCTTTCGTCCAGAAGGCGCCAGTCTCCCATGGGCTCTCCTCCCTCCCAGCTCTCCCTTCCTTCTGAGCCTCTTCCTCTACCTTGGCTTTCCGCAGAGTGGGAGGGGCAAGTGCATCATGTGAGGAGCTTTCAGGGGCCGGGGCACTCGGGTGGGGTGGGGGAGGGCCTTCAGGGGAAGCCAGGCTCCTTCGCTAAGGATCCCAGCACACAGTGGGTGCTTTCTGCGTGAAGAACCGCTCTGG